GTGACTCACGTTGACCTCGGTGACAGCGATGTCCACCACGCTGCCCACCACGATGAGGGCGTCAAAGGTGTTCCAGGCGTCGCAGAAGTAGTGCTGCGTACAGGGGGGGAATGGTGAGGGCCACCCCCTCCTCGTGCGACACCCCCCACCTCCTCGTGCGACGCACACCCTCCCCGCCCCAACCCCTCGCACGAGCCTACCCGGGGTTTGAAGGCGATGATCTTGAGCACCATCTCGATGGTGAAGAGCCCCGTGAACACCATGTTGAGCAGGTCCATCACGTAGTTGAAGGGCTTGGACTGCTCGTAGTGCTTTAGGGGAGGGGGGATGTCCTTAGCTGCCCCCCCCTCAAGACCCCTGAGGGTCCCCAGGTGTCCCCAACCAACCCCCCACCCCCACCGGGTCCCCGCGTGCCCCACCTGGACGGCCAGGGCGATGGTGTTGAGGAGGATGAGGACGAACATGATGTACTCGAAGGCGGTGGAGTTGACCATGGCCCAGACGCGGTACTGGGTGCGGTTCTTGGGGATGTAGCGCCGCAGCGGCTGCGCCTTCAGGGCGTACTCCACGCACTGTCGCTGCGGGGGGGACACACACACACAGCCGGCTGCCACGGGGGATGCCGCCGCCTGCGGGGAGCGGGGCGACGAGGCGACGCCGCAGCGTCCCCGGGCACCTGGTTCTTGTCCAGCTCGCAGTTGCGGTACTCGCTCTCCCCCTGCGCCCGGAAGGTGATGATGACGAAGCCGACGAAGATGTTCATCATGAAGAAGGCGATGACGATGATGTAGACGATGAAGAAGATGGAGATCTCCACCCGGTAGTTGTAGATGGGACCCTGGTCCTCGGCGTTGGCGTCGATGGCCTTGTACAGCAGCCTGGGGATGGGGACACACACACACACAAAACAGCAGACAGCGGTGGTCCGCAAGGTACCCCCCAACGCGGGGTCCGGGTGTCATCGTCCCAGCCCTGCCCCAGGTGACTCACGCGGGCCAGCCCTCGAAGGTGGAGACGGTGAAGAGCGCCATCATCCCCGCCAGCACGTTGTCGAAGTTGAAGTCGCTGTTGTGCCAGAGGCGCTCCCGCACCGAGGGGTGGGAGACGTCCCCGTCCTTGTACACCAGGAAGGTGCCCCTGT